GTAGCCTTGAGCATTGAATAAATATCAGTGGCAGTCAGACCCTAGTGGCCGGAGGCCCTGGACAATTCTCAGTGCTGTGCTGGTCTCAAAGGCCACGGGCTTCAGGTGAGACCCTGTGTGGTGCCAGCTGTTGTCCATGTAGTGCCTACATCACCCCTTCTTCAATTCCAGGCAGCCCAGCATCGAGGGAGACTCCTTCTGATTGAGGGAAAGAGAGAGAAAAGAGCAAAATACTTTGGCTGGTAACCCAGGGATTTCTCCCTTATCTTCTTCAAGTCCACTAAGGCTGTGTATCTAGGAGTCTACAAGTGTTGCAGTGCTTTGGGCTTAGGCTGGCCCCTAGTGCTGAAACAGCTGCAGTAACCACAGTCTTAAGTCACAACACTCAATCCCCTTTGAATCTTTAAAAAGTCCTCTGAAGAAGGACAGATGCAAACAAATCCAGACTGCAAAGATGCAATAAATACCTAACTCTTCAAGACAAATACCTAACTCCAGATATCAAAAGATATCCACAAGCATCAAAAACATGGAGGAAGCCAGGCATACTGGCTCATGCCTGTAATCCTAGCACTATGGGAGGTTGAGATGGGAGGATTGCTTGAGCTCAGGAGTTCAAGACCAGCCTGAGCAACAGCAATATCCCATCTCTTCTAAAAAATACAAAAATTAGCCTGGCATTATGGAACACACTTGTAGTCCCAGCTACTTAGGAGACTGAGGCAGTAGAATTGCTTTAGCCTAGGAATTTGAGGTTGCGGTGAGCTGTGATGATGCCAATGAACTCTACCTGCTGTGACAGACAGAGACTCTGTCTCAAAACAAAACAAAACAAAAACACATGGAGGAAAACAAGACCTCACTAAACAGACTAAATAAGGCATTACCAGCCAGTCTTAAAGTGAAGGTGGTTTATGACTTCTCTGATAGAGAAATCAGAATAGCTGTCTTAAGGAAGTTGAATGAACCTCAAGATAACATAGAGAAGGATTCAGAATCCTATCAGAGAAATTTAACAAAGAAATTGAAACAAGTTTTAAAACTCAAGCAGAAATTCTGGAGCTGAAAAATTCAATTGGCAAACTGAAAAATGCCTCAAAGGGACTCAACAGAAGAAATGATCAAACAGAAAAAAGAATTAATGATCTCAAAGACAGGTTATATAAAAATACATAGCCAGAGAAGAAGAAGAAGGAAAAAGAATAAAGCAGATCTGCAATTTCTAGAAAATAGCCTCAAAGGGACAAATCTAAGAGTTATTGGTCTTGAAGAGGATGTAGAGAAAGAGATTGGGATAGAAAGTTTACACACAAAAGAAGACAGGAAGAAAGAAAATAAAAGAGGACCAACAAAACACCCAGAAAGCAGACAACATAATGTCAGTAGTAAGTACTTACTGATCAATAACAATATTGAATATAAATAAAGTAAATTTTCCAATCAAAAGACATAGTGTAGTAGAGAGGATAAAAAAAAAGACCCAAACATGTGCTTCCTGTAAGAAACTCACTTCACCTATAAAGACACTGATAAACTGACAATGAAGGGATAGAAAAAGATATTCTATGCCAAAGAAGCGAAAAGAGCAGGAGTAGCTATACTTCTATCAGATAAAATAGATTTCAAGATGAACACTGTAAAAAGAGACAAAGAAGGTCATTATATGTCAATTTAGCAAGAGGACAGAACAATTATAAATATGTATACACCAAACACCAGAGCACCCTGATATATAAAACAAATATTATTAGTGCTAAATATCAATGAAACACAAATTTGGTTTTTTGAAAAGATAAAATTGACAAATCTTCAGCTAGACCAAGAAAAAATAGAGAGAAGACCCAAATAAATAAAATTAAAGATAAAAAAGGAGACATTACAACTTATACCACAGAAATTCAAGGGACAACTAGACACTATTGTGAGAAACTACATGTCAATAAATTAGAAAGGCCAAAGGACATGGACAAATTCCTAGACACATAAAACCTACCAATATTCAACCATGAGGAAATTCAAACCCGAATAGACCAATAAAAAGTAATGAGACAGAAGGAGTAATCAAAGAAAGGCCCAAGACCTGATGGTTTCCCTTATGAATTCTACCAAGCATTTAAAGGACTAATACCAATTCTATTCAAATTATTCCAAAAAATCAAGGAGAGAATACTTCCAAACTTATTCCACAATGCCAGTAGTACCCTAATACCAAAACCCAACAAAAACACAGCAATGAAAAAAAACCTACAATCCAATGTCTCTGATGAATAGATGCAAAAGTCCTCAACAAAATACTGGCAAAGAAAATTCAACAACACATTAAAAACATCATTCACCATGATCAAGTGGGATTCATCCCAGGGATGAAAGCATGCTTCAACATACGCAAATCACTAAGTGATTTGACATCACATCAACAGAATCAAGGACAAAAACCATAGATCATTTTAATAGATACTGAAAAAGCATTTACTAAAATTCAACATCTCTTCATGATAAAAACTCTCAATCAATTGAGTGTTAAAGGAACATACCTCAACACAATACAAAGCCATATACAACAAACCCACAGTATCATACTGAATGGGATAAAAACTGAAAGCCTTTCCTCTAAGATCTGGAACAAGGTAAGGATGCCCACTCTCACCATTTCTATCCAACATAGTACTGGAAGTCCTAGCCAGAGCAATCTGTCAAGAGAAAGAAAAAAAAGATATCCAAATTGGGGAAAAGGAAGAAAAATTGTTCCTGTTTGTTGATGATATGACCTTAGATATTTTTTGAGGGAGGGATCCATCCATGGTTGTTTATACAGTTAGTAGTTAATTGATCTCATTATTATATAATATGCCACTATGAAAATATACCAAATGCATTTGTTCTATTATAAATTGGCTTTTGTTGTTGTTGGCTCCATTTAGCGGCTTTTGTGAATAAAGCTGCTGTGGACCATTCATGTATATGCCCTTTGGTGTGCATACAAACTCATTGTTGTTAGATATATAACTTAGAGTAGAATTTCTGAGTGATTGGGTGTGCATATGCCAAATGGTTTTTCCAAGTGACTGTGAATTACACTTCAACAAGTAGTATATAAGAGTTGCATTTGCTCTACATTACACGCAAGAAGCGTGTGTGTGTATCTCCACTGCAGTTGACGGTATTTATTCTCCTGTATGGCCCCTTTTTATTTCCAAAGACTATTTTCCCTTCTCAGGCAATGTGTCCTCAAATGCCACAATCTGCAGGAGAGAGGAGGAGGGGACAACCACCAAGCTTTCAAATGGTTCCTGTGAACATCATCTAATTGTGCTTGAGGTGAGGAAAACACACTCCCACTTCTTCCCTTTAGAGGAAGGAAACTCACAGTACAATAATAGCTTTCTCTTTTTCAGTTTTGGCAAAATACATGTAACACAAAATTTGCCATTTTAACCATTTTTAAGTGTACAGTTCAGTGCCATGACATTCACAATGTTGTGAAACCATCTTTACTATCAATTTCTAGAACTTTGTCATCATTCCAAACAGAAACTCTGTATGTATTAATCAATAACTTCATTAACCCCTCCTTCCTGCACCTGCTAGCCACCATTCTACTTTCTGTCTCTGAATCAATAGCTTTGTTGTAAACCTTTCCAGCTAAATCTCCTGCTTACATGAAAGAAGCTTCACTTTTCATGCCCTTGCTATGGGTGCAATGGAAAAGAGTTATGAAACACATTCCAGAATATTGCTTCTAAAAATTTACATCTTGGTCTGATCTCTCACTTTGAGAATCTCATTCTCTGTATATGTTGATGGCTCCGTCAAAGTTTCCAAACTGAAGTCGCATTGCATAAGCATGCAACCTTGGTGAATTACTATTTTCCCTTTAATCTTCCTATATTGCTGACTGTATTTTTGTAGTGTCCTTCTAAAGAGTCAGAAATTTTTCACAGAAGAATCCACTAGGTTTGCTTGCCAGATGCAGCTAATGTATGAATTTTCCTGGTTTCTTTTGTTTTTTTTACAATTTAGGTATCAGAATGCTCCCCAATTTGAGAAATGTGGATTTAAAATATTTACTGTGCATCAATTGGACTGGGCTGAATTTAGCTGATGCCGTGAGACTGCCTCAATAACTCAATGCTGCTATAAATGTATCATCCTGAGAAAGAATGTTCTTACATATTTGCACAGCACTTTGGCCTCTCCAGTAAATTGAAGATAATGAGAACAGGTAGTAAAGTGTTAGAAATCATCTCTGTGTGATGATACACGGAAGAATTGCCCATAAATTGTGATCCATTATCTATAATAAGTTCTTTTGAAATCCCCTTATGATCAAAACAGATTCTTCAAGTCTCAAATGATATTCCAACTGGATAAAGAGTGCTTCCCCCCCCCATGGAGTGCTGTATTTACCTAATATGAAGAAAAATATATAGATAGATAGATTGGTAACTACTCTTCCAAAAGTGTGCTGTTAGTTCATGCCAGCACTGTACATTTTCCTAAAACCAGAGCTTAAACTGGAAAGGACCTCAAAAGTTCATTAATCTATCATCATTTCAGGGAAACTGCCCAAACTGGCAGTAGGACACTTTCCACCAACTATGTAGTGGCATCAGTTCTCAAAGAGCCCAAATAATTCCACAGACCAGCAATTATCTTGCCAAAAGTACTGAGTAGTCATCATCTACAGTAGAGAACTCAGTGCAGCAGAGAAAAAGCTTCTTTGTCTAAAAGTCTTCCCATTCAGGCTCTACATCAGGGATCAGCAAATTTTTTCCTTTAAGGGCCAGATAGTGAGTGTTTTAGACTTTATGGGCCATGTAGTTTCTGTCAACTACTCAACTTTGCCATTGCAATGCGAAAGCTGTCATAGACAATATGGAAACAAATGTTACAGTAAATTTGTTACAGTAAGACTTTATGTGCATCACAATAAAACTTTATTTACACAGACAGCATGGGCACAGTTTGGCCCACTATCCATAGTTTACCAGCACCTGCTCTATTAATACATAGTTTTGGATTTGAAATCAGTTATTCATGGCTTTGCATTAAAAATCACCCTTTGCATTAGAGCGTAGCTATGCCTAAAGAGTCATACATCTCAAGTTCCCAGTGTGGAGTAGCAGACTCCAACCCATATTTCTTCAGTCTGAGTTTTCCTGTAGCTACTTCAGTTGCCGGTAGGCGGATAGCATCCTACATCAAGAGCCTGAATCTCTCTTCTTCTATGAGTGAGGATTTTCTCCAGAACTATGAAAACTAGGTATGAGGGTGTTAATCCTTACAGAGCAAACTTCAACTACTGGTGGATGGGAATCAATGGGTAAATGGCAGCTCCCTGTCCCCAGTGATGACTCTGGGACATGTCCACATGGCCTCTAGGAGGATCCAAGTGGGACTGAGCAGCAGTTGCCTAAAGCATAATCAGTTCATTGCACAGAATTTATTAGCATTTTTCCTTTTCCTGTCTCACTTCCTCCCTTGTGTTTCCTGGAGTCTCTTCCCAAGTCAACTGCTTGCACTTATATTCTTGTCTTAAAGACTATGTTTGAGGCAACACAAATTAAGAAAACTGGATTCATAAATTTTCTGTTCCTCCATAGCAGAAGGGAGTGCAGTGCATGAAAACAATGGTGCAGCAGGGTCAGAATTGGAGGGACCAGAGATGCTTTCTTTTAAATCTAGTCACTGGTTTTGTTGAACATATCTGTGAGTTTTTAAAAATAAATTTCTGAGACCCCACCCCGCACACACAAACTGCATCTGGTGTTAGTTCCTTCTGTTCATTCCCTCCACATTCCTTTTTTTGCTGGCTTCCTCTGTGCTGTAGTTTTGTGACAGTTGAAGAGAAAAGGAGAAAACAATTAGATTTCGCTCTTACTTAAAACCGTCAAATTAAAACTTCATGTAAGTAGAAGCAAAGTTTAATTACATAAACAAATCTTAATACTTGACAAATCCAATCATTTCCCCTAGAGAAATGCCAGAAATGTTTAACAAACATTTGGTACTTAATAGATGAAGGGCATCCTGGGATGTATATGCAGAAATGATCTTTGGAATTTCACAGTTTAGAGTAGCACTGGCTGAGGATTCAGGCAAATCTGAGTTCATATCTCCACTTTGCCTTTTAACTATCTTTATGGGCCTATATGAAATACATCATTGCCTTTGTTTCTTTATCTGAGAAGTGGGGATAGTAACACCTACTTCATATGTGTTTGTGAAAATAAATGAGATCACACATGTATAGGACTACACAGAAACCAAACATAGCAGCCAGATATTACTTGCTTTTTCCATTTCCTTTACAGCTTAAAAAGTCAGCTGTAAAGAACTAAGGGGTAATCAAGAATACCATGCACTTAGTTTCAGACATTTTCTAAAACCAGAAGCACACATGGTCTTTATCCTTCTGACTTATAAACGTGGAAAAGTACTGATTGACCAATAGTGACTGTGTTCAGAGCTAGTTGAAAACTCCTCAAATATTTTGACACATAAGAAAATATACCAGAAAGTAGAGAATAGGGAAAACCAAAATCAAATTAAGAGCAATGTGTACTAATTAACATTTAACAAGAAAAAAACTTTGGTTTTTCATTTCCACATCTGTAAAATAAAAAGGGTGATAGAAACCACATTGTTCCAAGGAGCATTAAAAAATAGAGTCTGAGTCGTCAGAGTTCTGAGGATTTCACCTGAGCATCAATTAAGATGAGCTTCTCCATCAGGTGGGGCGGGTCACACCTATACTCCCAGCACTTTGGGAGGCTGAGGTGGAAGGATCGCTTGAGCCCAGGAATTCGAGGTTATGGTGAGCTCTGATCACATTGCTGCACTCTAGCCTGGGTGACAGAGTGAAACCCTGTCTCCAAAAAAAAATTAAAATTAAAAAATGAACATCCTCATTACATTCAGAACATAGCAACTAACAAAAGCTCCATGCCTTCCTCAATGTGAAGACACCGTACAACTTAGTTTTAGACTACCATACAACTTAGTCTTGGAATTATTTTCCAAGTTGTCTTCATTCATAGGAGTATTTAGTCTCGCTTTTTGTTATGAGCTTGGATAAATAATTGATTGGGCAAGTGAGTGTTTGCTGTTGTTTCCATTCCTCAAAGCAGATTTCATCATGCATGTCTGGGTCCTGAAAGATTCAGATTGAAACAAGCACCTATTTCTTTTCCTACCCTCTAAATTCTCATGCGTATCTGCACAAGATTTCTCTAATTCGCAAGCCAAGAAATAAATGATATGCTGAATTACAGCAACATGCATCAATTACACAATCAGTATAGCAGTGCCTACCCCAAAGAACCCTTTGATGTTGTTCACATGTCCACACTGATTATGTTTCTCCCTCCTCCTTCATGCCAGAGGTTGCAGTTGTAATTTCCTCCATTTAGAAAATTATAAATTTTCTTATCTTTTACCTCAGCAAGATAGCATCTTGGTTGCTTCCTCCCCAAGATTTGCCTTTATCTTGCAACACCTCAGTTTTGATATAAGAATTACAAAGGCATGTGAATATACACTCTAGGTCCTCTCCATACTAATCTTATCTGCTAAAAAAAAATCCATTCCATATAATTTACCAGAATCTATTTTTAAAATATTCTAATGGCTGCATGAACAATTAGTTCTACCATTATGTAAAAGTGTGTTTTAAAAATTTTTGGAATAACTAATGCAAATTTTTTATAGAAGCCAGTTTCTAAAACTAAGAAGCCATCAGAATGGTTGATGTATAAATATAAGTAACATGATAAAGATTCATTTTAAACAAAGATCTGCTTCTAAGGGCTTAGATTTGGAGAGGGAAAATGGATCATAAAAAAAAATATTCTAATGTAAAATAACTGCTATTGAGTTTTATGAAATCTGGAAACATTATACAATTGTATAGCAAGTTGCACAAACACAGATCCCCTGCTCTGTCACTCACTGGTTAGGTGATCTGAGTATATTGCTTCATCTCTCCAAGTCCTAGTTACCCTGACAACAAAATAGAAATTGTAATAACATCACTTACCTCATACAGTTACCATGAGGATTGAGTGAGCTAATGTGCATAGAACTGCTGACGTGGCAAGGGCAAAATGTTTTCTTTCATGAGTTTTCCTATGCTTCGCTCACCAAATCCTTTAAAAGAAAACAGGATTAGTCTTTCTCTTTTCTTTCCTTTCTTTTGCTTTCTTTTCATTGCATTTCTTTTGTTTCCTCCTTTGCCTTGGAAAGAATTTTATCTTCGCTTACTCCATTCCAAGGCTTTTGTGATGTAGGTTCAGAATGATGGTGAGGTCTGTGGGGTAGAAAGTAATGATGGCAAAGTAGGAGAGAAATAAAAAGACAACCCCTACACAGACTTCAGGGAGAGAGAGGGGCAGTTGTCTGAGACATCACAGCAGATGGGGTACTGGATATTTTAGGAGAGGAAAGGGGCTTTGGAGATGCATTGAGATTTATGTTGCTATGGGTTGTGGATTGGATACCCTTTAATGATCTTCAAAAGACATAAACAAATATTGACATTTCCTTTTAATTACTTTTGGTTTCTGGACAGTATTTCTTTGAATCTGACTCTGTACAGATACTGAATCACCCAGGACTCCAGCTTATATAAGTTATTACCATGGTGATGACAATGACAATGACAAGTACAATGATGATGATAATTGTGTGGTCTTCATCACTAATTTTCTGTGGGAACAGGATACTGGTTGCTCAAAGTATACTCAAAGAAGAGAGCACAAAAAAAGAATATTCTGCATTCTAAATGACAAGTCGATACTATCTCTTTGAGGCATTATAAGCAAAATTTTAAAGAACCTTAAGCAATATTTGCCACAATAGCTTCTCTAAAGTCCCAATCTGGACAATAAAAGCTATCCAAGCAAAAAACATTTATACCCTTTAATATTTTGAAATACAATTTTTTTTAATTTTTAAAAAGCTAGTTGGAAGATCCTGAAATATTTCGACACGTAAGAAAATATGCCAGGAAGTAAAGAATAAGGAAAGCCAAAATCAGATTAACCCTTTGCACTCGGATGTCGAGTGTGACTCAACACGGTTAGCAAAAATTATAGAGATTAAAATTACTCTTTGAATGTATCAATAATTTGAAATATAAAAAAATCCAAATCCAAATCAATAAGTTTGTATGAAAAGAAACTCCGGTTTTTTATTCTACTGCCACGCTTTGTAAAATCTGGGGTATTTAAAAACCTGGGGTATTTAAAAAATTAAATCCCAAGTAGAATAAAGGAATCGAGAAAAAAGCAAGTGAGTACAAAGGGTTAAGAACAATATGTAGTAATTAACATATAAGAAAAAACCTTTGGTTTTCCATTTCCATATCTGTAAAATAAAAGTGGAGATAGAGATCACACTGTTCCAAGGATCATTAAGGTCCCATGGAGTTACCCTTGAAATGAAAATAGTGACTGGTGACATTAAAAACAGAGATTGAGTTGTCAGAGCTCTGAGGCCTTCACTGGAGCTCCAATTAAAAAGACATATTGTCAAAACTTTATTGATTGAATATAAAATTACATTTTGAGTTTATAAAAAAGAATTAAGTTCTTTACTTTAAAAAGTTAACATTAAATTATTAACTCTACTTCCTGTTGGCTCTTAAGTGCTCCCAGACCTAGACAAGTTTTAAATATTGCTCTAAACAATATTTTCCATTTAAAATTTGCACAATTGGGATTTTTCAGTAATTCATTCTTAATGTTTCCTTTTTCCTCAAGAAGGATGGCTGAAACATTCTTAATGTTTTCATAATGTAATTTTACTAAAGAATAGCATTTTATGGAAAAGGCCATTCTAAATAAGGTATTCAACTCTAAAATTTTAAAAAGGAAAAGCAAAATAAACTCAATAAAATTAATAGATTAAAAAGAAATTAATTTGACAAAGGTAAAATCCTTAGCACAGTGCCCAGCACAGAGTAACCACTCATATACCTTAGCTAAGCAAGAAATAAAAGGTTAAAATTTTTAAAATCAGAAAAAAATAGTAATTAATAAACCAAGAGCAAGATAATTTAAATGTGGGGGGATAGGGAGAAACAATAAAACAGATCAAACATTATCAAATCTGATCAAAGAAAAATCAAATCACAACTCAAATAAATATAAGTATAAATAAAATATAGCACAAGTGATATAAAAGATATATCAAGAAAAAAATATATTAAGCATACATTTTTCAAGTGAGACTAGATTTTCTTCCAAATAGCAAACATTTTCCAATTTGTTATACAATCTACTTCTATCCCACTTTATTTATTATGATTATTTTTTTCATATGTTAAATTCTTTCATGTTAAAGGAAATTTTCAATTGATTCATTCTGTTTAGTATATATACCAACCTTTTTCTGAAAGATTCTTGTCCCACACTGGTTTACTTGTAAGTTCTTTCAAGTTTTCAGAAAAAAGATAATTTCCATACTACTATATAAACTAGTCAAAGGATATTTAAAGTCATGCAATGCCAACACAGCCAACAGTTAGAAGAAAAAGTGTCTCCGTAATTAAAGGGTATCTGGGCAGATCACTTTATTCCCTTCTTTGAGCTCCTTGGATTTACAATGTTAAAAATCTTATGCATCTACCAGCATTTGCTCAGTGTTCAGTTCCCCCATGAAGAAAATTATTCACCCCAACCAAATAGAATTTTTTTCTCCTTGTATAAATTTAAGAGATGCAAGTGCAGTTTTGTTACATGGGTATATTAGGAAGTACAACCAAAAAGAACGTAATGCTCACTCTGGCCCTGTTCATGCCACATTCCAGTGGTACCACTGTCATCCAGCAATGAATTGCTACTGATCCTGCCTGGCCTCATGACTTAGTGGGTCTCATACAACCCAGGGCAGGATGGGCAGCTCTGGATCTATGGTCATGGATACCAAGATCAGATGCTTCTTATTCACAACTACATTGGCCAAATAGCAAATGTTGTGTAACTCTCTGATGCAAATGGCATGGATTGTTCCTGAACTGTAGATGTCGTCATCACTATTCCCCCACCTGGCATTTTCTATAAATCCCATACCATGTCTTTTTCCCACCACATATACATCTAACACCAGATGATATTGCCCATGCAGTAATGTAGCTGGCATTGCATCCTAGACCTGGTGCAGACCTCTTTCCTGCTCTGGACACTATTACAGCTAAAAGCTTTTCTTGTAACTTGGTAAATGAATTACAATATACACCACTCTTCTAAACTTCAAGCATGCAATTAGAAAACCAACTACTGGTTAATTTGGATATGCGAAGTCAATGTGTGGAGAGAAATCACCAGGGGGAGAAACATATGGGGAGAAATTATGGTGATTTATGTTAAAATATAGATTAAAACATTCTGAATGAATTGATTTTTCTCCTTATATGTCTTCCACATCTTTTAGGACAGGCTCTGCCAATAGTCCTTGCATTTCACCTTCCTCTTTTTTACCTTCAGATTAGAAGTGTGTTCTTTTTGCAAAAATCGTTTGATGTTCAAAAAACTAAAAATGTCTTGTGATGTGACTTTGATATCCTCTTGAGATCTTTTAAGCCACTTTAAGGGATCTTCCTATCAATAGGCATTTGAAATCTCTTCCCTGCAAATTATCATTTTCTTTAGTTCACAAGTCCAACCTGCAAGTTTAAAACGGGTCATGCATTTGAAAAATTCCAAGTAGAATCCCCTGATAGAAAGCAGTGTGATCAAACAGAAAGACTCAAGATTCTAATCATGTTTGATGCCTAGATGGACCACACACTTGAGCAATTTAGTTAACTCTTTGACTACTTTATTGTAGAAAGAAAAGAGAAACAGTAACTTGAATCTACTAACTTAGCAGGAGAAATGAGAGCATCAGAAGCAGTGCTTGCCAGAAGTGAATGCACACCTCAAAAGATGACCTAGAAATCCGTAATTTCTACTGTTCTTTTTGCCAATCATAGTGTGATTCTTTGGTCTTACATGGCCCTATGGGAACAACATCATTTATTTGTTCATGTACCTACTAAGGCATTAGCAGCATGTAGCTCCAAGCAAATTACCAAGAATTTTTATAGATTTTTTTCCCCTCAGAAATCTATCTTGGGCATGGTGGACAAGGAGGAGGAGACATTTAGATTGAGCAAAAAATGTCATTAGTTCCCCTTCTCAAAAAAATCTACCACTACCTACTCTCTCCCTTACTAAATTCCATCAATTAATGTTAATTTAGACAAAAGGCTCCTGTTTGGTGCTACAAATGGGCATTTAGTATAGGGGTCATTCACTCCTTAATGTTAAAAATCACTGAGTTAATTCAGGCTCAATAATTGGAAGATTTTATTAAAGTAAAAAGAAGGAAGAAATTGGAGTAATTTGAACTTGCTTAAAAAACTATAATCTTCTGCTTGCCATAATTCATTCTAGCCTCCCCAGTCCCATATAGTCTAATTCCAATGTTATAGCATCCTTTCAGTTCCTGCCTACTGAGGAATAAAAGTGAGAAAGGAAGATATGGAAAAAAGAAACACAAAAGCTAGTGCCAGTTGCCTGCTCTCAAAGGAAAAAGTTGGTCAGATTCCTGCCTTCAGGACCCCACACTCTTTCTCCTTCTGCTCCATGAAGAATTCTCCCACTAAAGTGAGCAACTAGAAACTATTCTCCATAGATGAGTTGAATCTGCAGGACTTACATAATTCAGAATAAAGTGGATTCATCCTGGGTCTTTTTTAAGTGTATAAGGCTCATGATAAAATAGAATCAGTCTTTTTCCAAACAAGAGAAAAACAGAATGGCCACTGATAGAGGATAAGAGAAGATGAATGAGGTCACAAGATCAATGCCTCTATAAGTCAGGGTTCAGTCAGGAGACAGATACCACGTGGTAATCTGAGCAAGAACAGTTTGACAGAATTATTTTCATGGAATTAGAATGATGGAGCATTGGCTAATGAGAGCTAAAGAGAATTCTTAACAACACAGGAGTAGCAGATACAAGGAGCAACCAGTATCCCTAAGACCAAAACAGGGCACCCACAGAAGGGTCCTCCTCTCCATGGCTGAAATCCAGACCTCATTGGAAAGGACAAAGCAAAGACTCTCTAGGTATTGGGGAAGTCACTAAGTTTTCTC